GGAGGAGGAGGAGGCAGGAGGCACTGCTGCGATGGAACACCACCCCAGGTGGGGCAGGTCAGCCACAACTGGGGGATCCGTGGTACGCCCCCCGCTGGGAGGCCCGTCGGCTTCGACATCCTTCTCGAGAGACCGCCGGTGCGATGGGTCCCCCCAGGGGGGTCATGAAGGACCACGGCTCCCCGAGCCGTGGCTGGTCAAAGAGGGTGCATGGGGCCGTTGTGCGAGGATGTCGTACCCTGTCCTTGGCTGGGCCGCCTCCTCTGGGCTGGCACTGCGTGCCGCATTTGCCCCACGTCTTCTCCTCCTGACTGTTTTGTCGGTGCTGGTCCAACGCGAACCCTGGAGCCGCCTTCAATTCGGGACCCTCTTGAAGGACAATTCGTCTGTTTTGGGCAGATCAGGATGTGATTTGCGCCCGTCTCAAGCGTTCGTAGGCCGGGAAAGGAGACAGAGCAAGCGGCTGGTGTAAGCAGCGTTTTTTGCTTACGAGGGTCATTTGAAGGCAATTTGTCCTTCCGTGATTTTGGCTTCTCGGGGATTTTCGTAAGAGGCTCCAGGTCCACACCCATTTGAAGCCATCCGGGGACAACATTGTGGTTATGTATCCTGGAGGCTATCTGCAGCCCAACTTGAGCTATCTCTGACCATCTTGGACCATCTGGGGACATCATTGGGGAGTCAGTTTGGGACCTCGTAGCGCCATCCTGTGGCAATCTTGGAGGGCGAGTTTTCTTGGCGGGTGGTTGACAGAACCTGACCCCCGCTCTTGAGCTGCTGTTTGGCCCTTTTTGGGTCGACTTGGCTCCTGGTTTCTGCGGCGGGCTCCCCAAAGGCGGTGTCGCGCGCGCGAGTCAGATGAACAGACTCACGGGAGGGTCGAACACTCCCCTTGACAGTTGCGCTGCTTGATTCAACAACCTACCAGTCCGACATGTGGGGATCTCATGCGATTCGAGTGCGAATCAACTGCGCGTCAAGGGCGAATCAGTTGCGAGCTTAATGCAAGTTGACTTCAAGATGTCATTCAAATCTTACTCAAATGGACGGTCGCTTTCCGATATCATTTTGTTCCGTTATGTCAGATTCCAATCTCGAGCGCCATGGGTGTGCGTAGTTCAGCGCACGTAAGTATGTGGGGTGCTTCGGGAGTGCAGTTGTCCTCCCACCCGTCCCCGCCCACAGAAATATGCTCCGTTGTTCGACGGGCAGCACGACGTCAAGCAACCTGGCGATAACGGGTGCCAGAACGCCAGGTACTTGCTGCGGTGTGCCGGTCGCCAGCACGACAGGTACTTGTGGCTCCACAGCGGAGGGAAGCAGCTCCCCTGTTTGCCCTCGTGTAGGCAGCCTTGCGGAAAACCTAGGCGCCCACATGCCTCGCAGACGTGTCGCCGATAGCATCTTTCCTTCGGCGCTGGTAGACGTATTAGAAACATGTCGGCGCGAGAGCGCGCCCGTGTGTGTATGTGCGTGTGCGTTTTTGTTTTTGTGTGTGTGTGTGCGTTTGTGTGTGTGTGTCAGAGTGTGTAAGAGAGAGAGAGTGAGTGAGTGAGTGAGTGAGCGAGTATGTATGTGTGTGCGTGCGTGCGTGTGTGTGTGTGTGTGCGTGTGTGTATGTGCGCGCGTGTTGTATACACATTTGTTTAATCGCTTCGCTGATTCCGCCAGCCCGTATTCTGCCATCGCAGGCGTTTGCCTGCGCGTTCGTGGCCTCTGCCTTTAGGGGGTCGTTTGGGGGCCTCTCGGGGCCTCGTTTTGGGCCTCTTGCGGGCCTCGTGGGGCCTCCAGGGAGCCTCCAGGGCTCTATTGGCGGCCTCTTGGGGCCTCCTGGGGGCATCTTGGGGCGGACGGCTGGAATTGGTGGCTCGTGTTCTCCCTCTTGGGCCCCTCTTGGGGTCGCCTTGTTGCTCTCTTGGGCGATCTTGGGCGCCTCTGGGGCCGTTTTGGGACCCTCTTGGACGATCTTGGGGCCCTCTTGGGGGCCTCTCGGGCCGTCTTGGGGGCGGTCTTGGGGGCCTCTGGGGTCATCTTAGAGCGTCGGAGACCCGAAAACGCGAGAACGCGAATAACATAGAAAAACAACAGGAAAATCAATGATTCTTGTTTCTTTTTGCCCTCTTTGGGGTCCTCTTGGAGCGTTCTTTGGGCTTCTTTGGGGCCCCTTGGGCTGTCTTGGGACTATCTTGGGCGTCTTGGAGCGCTTTTGGGGCGTGATGCCGATTCGTGGGCTCCCCAAATCTTCCCAAGACGGCTCAAGAGGTCTCCAAGAGGGCTCCGACGCGGCCAGCTATACCTCCACGACGACCCAAGAGCGCTCCAAGAGGGTCCTGAGAGGTCCCAAAAATGGTCATGGGGCTCCAAGAGGCCCCGAAGAGGTCTGCAGAGGGGTCCCCTAGCAACCCTGTTGTTACATTGGCCAGCCCCGCGCTAGAACGTAAGCGCGCGGGGAGCGCGTGCGTGGGGATTATGCTCAGTGATATGCGAGCACCCATGGCCAATTTACCATTGGCTAAAGGTGGTGAGTTGTCCTGAAATTGTCAAATCTAGGGTTTCCCAGCGAGCCTTCGGTTCGCACTCTGGAATAGCGTGGCACTCTGGAAAAGCGTGGCCTGTCAAGTGGCTACTTGTTCGATGCCACCACCGACACCTCCACCCACGCCACCACCACCGCCACCACTGGCGTGTAACATGCCTGGCGGAGCGCAACACGACGGGTACCAGGTAATGGGCAATTGCAGGGAGAACGTCCTCCAAGGCTGCGATTGCGAGTGCTGTGGATGAGGACAGGAATCTTCAGGTACTCTCAGCACAGAGTTCAATATTAATGAAGCTGCGGTTTGAGTGCAGCCGGTTCACGTCCCTCAACGTTTGAGTTGGGACAGTTGCCCACGCCACGCGGCATGGCTTAAGTGCTTAAGTGACTTTTGAGGGAGCTTGACACTTCGTTTGTGTCAGGCGAGACGGTTGCTACGCGCCCGTCCGCAGATAGTACAGTGTTTTTTATGCGTTCCTTTGGGAGCCTCGCCCGCCGTACAGCGTGGCAACAGAGTGTGCCAACGGGAGTGTCCCTCCCTCCCTTCCGCTGTCCTTCCGCCTCCTCCTCCTCGTCCTCCTCCTCCTCTTCGGTTCCGTAGCCATTTTGGCTCAAGCCTCGCGGCCGCCGATTTTTGCGTCCCCGGCGCGGGAACCCTGCGCCCGCTCAGCGCGGCAACGCCACACCCGCGGGGCCCGATGGCGTCTGTCTCCGAGAAGTTCGACGCCTCGGGCGGCTTCAGCGGCAAGGACGACGGCCGCGCCAAGGTGCACATCCGCATGCAGCAGCGCAACGGCCGGAAGTCTTGGACGACGGTCCAGGGGTTCCCAGAGCAGGTGCGGCTCCCGAAGACAGGCAGGGTTCTGCCCGTGAATTTCGAGAAGATCTTGCAGCACCTCAAGAAGACATTCAAAACCAACGGCACGCTCATCTATGACGCGGAGCACGGCACCATCATACAGCTGCAGGGTGACATCCGCAAAGAGGTGGCCGAGTTTCTGGTCGTAGCCACAGCGCTGATATCGAAAGACCAGGTGATGATCCACGGCTCCTGAGCGGCCCCCTTGTGCTTCTGCCTCTTGGCCCCTCTTTTCCTTTTGGTCCTTCTTCCTTCTCCCTCTCTTTCTCGCTCTCCCTCTGCTTCTCCAGGGCCTGCAGGCGCGGGCAACATAACACATTCCAGTCTTGCTTGCCCCTTCTATTCAACCGCACCGATGCGCCGCACCGATCGAGGACGTCCCAGCAAGCGGCGGAGTGCGGGTCCGACGCGTGCTGGGCGAGGCGCTCCTCCTCGGGTTGAGTCCGTTGTGTGTATACATGGTTGGCGGAGTCATCGGGGATGCCCACAGAGACAGACAGACAGACAGACAGACAGACATACAGACAGACAGACAGACAGACAGACAGACAGACAGACAGACAGACAGACAGACAGACAGACAGACAAACACACACAAACAATCACACACACAAACACACACACAAACATACACAGACACACACACACCACACCCACGCCCACACACACACACCACACCCACGCCCACACACATACCCACACGCCCACACACCCACCCACACGCGCACCCACACCCACACACACACACTCTGACACACACACACACAAGTACACACACACAAACGCACACACGCGCACAGACAGACAGACAGACAGACAGACAGACAGACAGACAGACAGACAGACAGACAGACAGACAGACAGACAGACACACAAACAAACACACACAAACACACAACAAAAAACACACACGCACGCACGCACGCACGCGCGCACGCAAGCACATACACACGCACCCACACACCCGCACACCCACCCACACGCGCACCCACACCCACACCCACGCCCGCACACACACGCATTCTGACACACACACACACACATTAACACAACACACACACACACAAACGCACACACACACGCACACACACACACACCTACACACACCTACACACACCTACAAGCACCTACACACACCTACACACACCTACACACACCTACACACAAACCACACACAATACACACAAAACACACACACAAAACAGACACACACACACACACACACACGCGCACACCCGCACACGCGCACGCGCACACGCGCACACGCGCGCACGCGCGCACGCGCGCACGCGCACACGAGCACACGCGCACGCGCGCACAGGTGCACACGCGCACACGCGCACACGCGCACACGCGCGCACGCGCACACGCGCGCACGCGCACACGCGCACACGCGCACACGCGCACACGCGCACACGCGCACACGCGCACACGCGCAAGCGCGCACGCGCACACGCGCACACGCGCACACGCGCACACGCGCACACGCGCACACGCGCACACGCGCACACGCGCACACGCGCACACGCGCACACGCGCACACGCGCACACGCGCACACGCGCACACGCGCACACGCGCACACGCGCACACGCGCACACGCGCACACGCGCACACACGCGCACACGCGCACACGCGCACACGCGCACACGCGCACACGCGCACACGCGCACACGCGCACACGCGCACACGCGCACACGCGCACACGCGCACACGCGCACGCGCACACGCGCACACGCGCACACGCGCACACGCGCACACGCGCACACGCGCGCGCACGCGCACACGCGCACACACACGCGCACACACGCGCACATACGCACGCACACACGCACAAGCGCACACACGCACACACGCACACACGCACACACGCACACACACACACACACTGCGTTTGTACTTCCTTCCTTCTTCTCCTCCCGCTCCCATGCTTTCTCCTCCATGCCTGCTTCTTCTGGTTTTGGAATCCCCTTTCCCTCAGTGGTGACGCTGGCAATGCCCATCATCACTGCATCTGGTCCGCGGATAAATCAGGCGAGATGGTTGCAAGATGTGGCGTGGTGCCTGCCCCACTCCCACGAGGGTCTGCACACCGCGGTGCCATGCACGACAAGTGCGATGTCGTCTCGCGTGGCTGATCGTGCTGAAGCATGTAGCCACCAGTACAGGCGAGTACCTTCGCTGCCCGCGGTGCAAAACAACATACGTATTATTGTGGCGGGTGCGTGAGTAACGTAAGTTCGGGACGCATGCGTTGTTTGTAAACGTATGTCGTTGGTGGGTGAAGAGGGGGTGGGTCAGTCGGTGGAAGAAGGCTGTGGTGCAAGATCCAGCCACTGCGGACCTTCCAGAAATAGAGGAGGCGGGGAAGATGCAGAAACGGGAGGGGTAACGGAGGTTAGGAGAGTGTATGTAATGCACATCGCGCGTGCTGCTCGTGTGCACAGTCCAGTCAGTTCATACCTCGACGAGCGCTCGCGAGCCTCCCGAAGTGCAGTCTGGATGTGCGTCAGGGCGTCCTCTGTCTACGGGTTGTCCCCAGGGGTTGGTGGCGGCCACGCGCCACTGTTCGCAGCACGTGCCCAGACCTCCTCTTCCGCGTTTTCTCGCGAAGCGCCTCCACGGATCGTCGGCGAGCCCGGGAGGAAGTGAGAAGCGGCGGGCCTTCTCAGAAGGCTCGGAAGTCCCCCGGTCTTCTGAGCAGTTTTCCCAGCCCTCCTCGAAGACACGAGCAACTTTTCAGCAGGCGCGAGGGCTTCTCAGAAGGCCCACCGCCTTCTGATCAGGCCCTCTCCTTCTCATTCCTCCCCCTCGTTCGCCGCCGACGCAGAGCTCGCGACACCATCCCCGGGCTCGCTTCATTGTCCTGGACAGCCTGCTGCTGGCCCCAGGGCCCAAGACGGGCCTTTGGAGGCCCAAGCTTACGCTGCATCTTCGGGGGACCTCGTCTGTCCCCAAAGTTGTGTCCTCTCTTGTGCTCGACGCGGGCTCGATGCGGACTCGACGCCAGTTTAGCGTAGATACGACGCGGCTTCGACGTGGATCCGACTCGGAATCGACGAGTCCGACATGGATTCGACACGGATTGGACGCGGATAGGGGCGCAACGGGACAGTACAGACAAGGCTCCCCCCGAACATGCAACATAACCAAGCCACGAGAAAACTCACTGTCCCCCTTCTCGTCCGTGGCGACGGAGGTCTGGGGTGTGTGCCCTCTCCGCTAAGGACCGAACGAGGCGCTCTACGCGGCGCGGATCGACGGCCTCCAGGCGGATGCCAGATACCGATTCGTGCTCGCGGCCGCCAACGGCGTGGGCACTGGCCGCTGGTCTGGGCCGTCATCGCTGGTGCTCCCACCCCTGGAGACTGCTTTTGTGGAATGGGCTGGCGATGACCTCGGGACATCGGGCCCGCCCGCCCCTTCCTCTCGTGGGCAGCCTGGCCGCGTCGGTTGCGCAGGTCCGAAAGGGGTACGCAGCATTGGTGCGCGCGTGCACGCGTAGGGCTGCCCAAGGCGAAAAGGCTCGGTCATCGGCCGGCACCTCCCCCCCCCACGGCGGATGACCCGGGTCACAGTCAACCCGCGTAGTAAGGATGAGCGACGCTCCAGGGTTGCCCTTGCATCCTCCCCCTTCGGCCGCTTTCGGGGACCGCGCCCCGCTTGTCGACGCGGCCCTCCAAGGCCCTTGCCGCCTTGCCGCGCATCCTCACCCTGTTTTGACAGCATCTCCGAAACGTTGAGCAGCGTGCCCCTGAGCAGGGCGACGACGCTGGAGCGGGAGGGGGCGGCGGCGGGGGTCAGAGGAGGACTGGGCTGCCGATGCCGCCACGGCTGGCTTCGCCTCGAGGTGATGGTCAGAGCGCGCGCTGGGAGAGGCACATGGGGAGCAGCGGCGTCGCGGGGTCCAGCGGGGGTCTGCTGGAGGTGTCCCCGGTCCACGGTGCCCCCAGCCTCAAGTCGGGCCTGTCATTCTACAGGAGGACTATTCAGAAATAGTGAACCAATAGTCTGGGGACTATGTTTTGACTATTTTTGATAATGTTTGGTCAGTTTCTGACATTGTTTTTTCCTTCCAAAATCCGCCTGTGGGTGGACATGCCCGACCTGATGCTAGAGGTGCTCCTGGCTCAAGGTGCCCCCAGCTTTGCGTTCCATGTTGTAGCCCCTGGGCCCTCTGGGCTTCGTGGGAGCTGCTTTCGAGGCCGTGGGGGGCTCCGCGGAGATCCTGGGGACACAGTTTGAGCCAGGAAAGCGCTGGCAACACCCGAATCTCAGCCGAAACGGCTTGTGACCGAATAGTCATCAGTGGCCCAAAACGTGATCAAAATCGTATCCGAAAACATCGTGTGACCAGCATTGTAACCGTAATTGTCAATCGTTTTGAGCTCGGACCAAAGAGTCACACTCGGTCGCGTCCGACAACTTCCCAGCGCTGGCTTCGGCCACACTCGTGCAGATGTTCGGGCACAGTCTCGGTCATTACGCCCCTCTGATGAGACGAGGCGACGTGAGAATCGTTTCTTTTTCCCCCGGCGGTTCGCGCCACGAAATCTCGGCCCAACGGCCCACGAGATGCCGTTGGCTTTCCAGGAAACGCAACGGCGCCTCGAGAGGCCCCGAGGGATTTATCGGTGCTGTGCTCCTTGCTGCGGGGCGGCCAGTTACCAGCCAGGAACATATCCCTATCCCTATGCTGGGCATCTCCTAATCACGATGCCAATCTTAGGGATTCCCTTATTTTTTTAGGGCGGATCCCTCAGATTGTCATCGCCTTTTGGCGTGCCAATCTTAGGGATAGGGATATGTTCGAGGCTGGTAAGCTGTGCTCCTTGCTGCGGGGCGGCCAGGGCGAGCGGGCGGCCTGCTGCGAAGGCCCCCCCCCCGATGGGCCCCTCTGAGAGGCCCCCCCAGCCGCCTGACAGAAGGCCGCCCACCTCGCCCCCATACACCCCTCGGAGCGCCGTCGAGGAGTGGGGGGACGGAGGAGGAGGAGGAGATTGAGGAGGAGGAGGAGGAGGAGGAGGAAGGAGGAGGAAGGAGGAGGAAGGAGGAGGAAGGAGGAGGATGAGGATGAGGAGGAGTTGTTTGTTGTTGTTCTGTCAGGCGCGGCCTACAGGGAGCGGTGACGGCGTCCCTGCAAGACTCGAGTGTTAAGCTCGACAAAGTGACACACGGGCACATCAGCGAACGCGAGAAGAGTGCCAGCACGTGCGAAAGGGGAGGTGAAGGAAGAGCGAGGCCAGGCGGCGGCGGGGCGGCGAGAGGCGCGGGCGGGCGCGCGCCTAGCCCTCGATGGGCATGCCGAGCTCGTCCATGCCGTCGAGGTCGTCGATCTCCTGCTCCAGCCTCGTGATTCGGGCCTCGAGGTCGCGGACGACGACGGGGCCCGAGGCGTCGCCGAGGGAGCGCTCGAGGCGGATGAGGTCGTCCACGAGCACTCCGCGGTGCTTCTGACGCGTCACCAGAGACATGAACCCAGGCAGGCCGAACGATCCGAGCCGAAGAGCGTCGATTTCGTCGACCATGACTTGCAGCTCAGCGTCAGTGGGGGAAAGTCCCAGCGAACGCAATACGGGGCCAAGCTCTGCAGTGGGGATGGTGCCGTTCCCGTTCTTGGCGAACCATCGTCGCCTTGGTGGGGGCGCCGCCCTGGGAGCCGCCTGTCGCCCAAAACTTCGCGTCCTGCTCGATCGATGTGTAGGTCCACCATGTCCCACGAGGCTCGTCAGGAAGCCCGAGCGCGGGGACACGGCCGCGTGGTGGCGCCCGCACCCTGTCGGGCGAGACGTCCCGCGGCTGCTTCGGCGCCCTGGGCCAGGGCGTGGGCGCAGCGCACCCAGCGGCGGCGTCGACCGCAGAGCATGCCTCGCCGTCCTGCGCTTCTGAAGCGGCGTGGCAGGCATCGAAGACGGCGGTGAGGCCAGCCGAGGCCGTCTGCGCGTCGCCGTCGTTCGTCTGCACCGCTGCTGTGGCCACCTCGGCGGGCGGGTCGGGCGGCCCCCTGCGCAGAGTACTACCTCGCGTCCACGCGTGAGTAGGCCCCATGGCGCTGGAGGCGAAGGTCACCGCACCGTACGAACAACGACAGCCTGACCCGAGACACGGCACGAACTCGCCAGCGTCCCCGTTCAGCGGGCCTTCCACTGCGGAGGAGGCCTACGCGACATTGGGCTCGAGGCCGAGGGCAGCTCCCAGGCGGGGCCCGGCCGCAGCCCACCGGAGCTCCACGTCGGTGGCCTGCGAGAGGCCACAGGGCGGGACGCGAGCCGCATGCCAGGCCGCGTTGCGGCGGCGCCTCGCACGCCCTGGTGCGCGCGCGCCGAGTGCCGCCAGCTGCAGGGCTGGGCGCGCGACCCGCTCGCGGCCCCGCCAGGAGCCTGGCAGCGCAGCACCCGGGTCCGCCCGCGCGCGCCGCAAGCCAGCCTCGCATGCCTGCTGCGCTCGGCGGCGGGCCGCCCGCCGAGCCTGCGTCGCGCCGAGCTGCTCCGTCTCCTGGGCGCGACCGGGCCGCCACCGCGCAGGGCGGCCCCCCGAAGCCATGCCGTCCTCGGCCCAACCAGTGGCAGCACCTCCGGACTGGACCATGCGCGATGCGGAAACGGCAAGCAGGGGGCTCGAGACCGGCTTGAGCCAAAATCGCTACGGAGGAGGAGGAGGAGGAGGAGGAGGAGGAGGAGGAGGAGGAGAGGTGGGGAATGGCGGTGGTCTGCTGCTGCTTAGCTCTAGCCCCCCGCGGCGGGCCGCGGAAGCGCGGCGAGGGGCGCTGCGAACTCCGCTCGTAGCGTGGGCAGCCAGCCAGCCAGGCGGAGGAGGACCACATCATGCTCGGGCCCAAAGCGGCAGTTCCGTCCCCCTGGCAAGTCGCCCCTCCCGCGTCAGCAGGGCGTTGGGATCTCGGGAGGTCTGGAGGTCTTGGGAGGTCTCGTGGGATCTCGGGGAGCCCCAGGGAGCCCAACGCGTCGTCGTCATCGTCGTCGTCGTGGTCGTTGGCGGCGGCGGCGGCAGCGTTTGCAGCGTCGTCGTGGTCGTCGTCGTCGTCGTCGTCGGCGGCGGCGGCGGCGGCGGCGGCGACGAGAGGAGGTCTGGCACCCCTATCGAGATCCTCCGTGTGGTGGAGCCGCTTCGCCCGCGGACGGCCTCGCCCCGGAGCGGTCCCCCGGCGGGGCGGCCCGCGGGCCCAGCGGTCCGCTGGCCGAGCGGCCCCCGGGCACCGTGCCTCTGGCTTGGCATCGCTTGGACGTGTGCGTGTTTGCTTCGGCGAGGGCCACCGATGAGCATATCCTTGATCGTTTGGCGAAAAAGCCACGCACGAAACCGAACAAAAAACACAGAGAATGGACGTCCGAGCGATGGCCAGCCGTGCCCCTGGAGGTGGGAGGGGAGGGGTGTATGGTAGAAAGGGGGGGTCTGGTGCGAACGTCATGTGAAGGCGGATCTGGCGATGTTGTTTGCCGCAGAGAGCATCGCCACTTCCACGATTGGCACCATACCCCTTTGTGCCGCACCCTTGTTTCGACCTCCAAAGCACCCCCTCCGTGCATCCCCCACGGGTCGGCGGGGGGCGGCCAGGAGTTAAGTCGGGCCTGTCCCTCTACAGGAGGAATCTTCAAAAGTGGTCAAAACACAGCCGGGGGGGGGCTGTTTTTTTATAGCATGTTTGGGGTATTGTTTGCCAATGTTTTGTTTTTTGTTCAAAATCCGCCTGTAGGGGGACACGCCCGACCAAAGCCAAGAGGGGGGTGATGACTAGGGGGAGGGGGATCTCGTGGCGTAGGCCATGATATCTCCCCAGATCTCCTGGAGCCTTTTTTATTTCAATGCTTCCCTGCCCCCTCCCCTCCTAGTCTTTTTATTTCAATGCGTCTCTGCCCCCTCCCCTCCTGGGCCGCGCGCATGCCGCCGGCCATGATTTGCGCCCCCCCTCTTGGACACCCCCCTCCTGGCCGCCCCCAAGTCGGAGGTTGCGGGAGGTGGTCCTCTGGCCCGAGGTGGGGTCAGCGGCGCTCACTCTCAGGAGGAAAGAAAACGTACAGACACGTATCACCGTCGATTCCAATGGAACTTGTTAGAACTATGGGGAGTGGAGGGGGATAGGAACATCCAGAGCAGATGTAGAAACATGGAGAATCTTGGGATTTGTGCCTGATTCACTTGATTGTCTCTGGGCCTCTTCCGACCCAGTGCTTGTCAACGGGGGTCAGCCAATCGCCGGCGAAGGCGTTCAAGGTTGAAGACTGACGCGGAAGTGCCGAGGGACGCGGCAACGCCACTGGACCCGACGGAATTGAGCCTTGAACGATGGGGTCCGCGATCGATTCAAGGTTGAAGGATCGACGCGGCGTCGAGAGCCTTTGCGCGCGCCGACGCCGCGCGACCCAACCGTGATGGGGGTCGGCCACTCCCCTCCGGGTGCCCCAGATTGTGAAGGCCTGACGGCCGACGCCGCCGACCCTGAAAGACGTCGACGACGACCAGGAGGGGGAGGAGGAGGAGGAGGAGGTGGAGGAGGAGGAGGAGGAGGAGGAGGAGGAGGCGGAGGAGGAGGAGGAGGAGGAGGAGGAGGAGGAGGAAGAGGCGGAGATAAGGAGGAGGAGGAGGAGGCGGAGATAAGGAGGAGGAGGAGGCGGAGGAGGAGGAGGACTTCGGGAGCCACGTGGAGCCGAGCCCCCCGTCGCCTCCCTCGGCCACACCCGTGCGGGAGCTGCTCCGTGGCCGGCCAGGGGTTCGCGGCATGTGGCTCTGGCGGGTCCCAGCGCTCTGGCCCCGGGGCGGGCGCGGCCGCGAGGATCGGCGGCGAGCCTGTCGGGGGCGGCCAAGAGGGGGTGCTGACCAGGGGGGGTGGGTGGACATCATGGCCTCGGCATCGCTCGGACGTGTGATGTTTTCCTTCGGCGAGGACCACCGAGGAGCATCCTTGATCATTTGGCGAAACGACCACGCACGACACCGAACAAAAACACAGGGAATGGACGTCCGAGCGATGGCCAGTGGCGGGGGCCATGACTACGGCCTCAGATCATGGCGTAGATCATGGGCAGGGTGGATCTCATGACGCAGGTCATGACTAGGGGGGGGATCTCATGGCGGGGGCCACGAAATCTCCCCAGATCTCATGGCGCCTCATCTTATTTCATTACGTCCCCACCCCCCCACCCCCTCCAGGACCGCGCACATGCCGCCGGCCATGATTTGCGCCCCCCCCCTCCCCCCTCTGTCCCTCTCTGGGCCGCTCCCGAGCCTGGGGGGGGGGGGGAGAGGTGAGAAGGAAGAGGCCTCTCAGAAGGCTCGACCTTCCGAGAGGAGTCTTCGGAGCCTGCCCCGAAGACGCCAGAACACTTCTCAGAAGGCGCGAGGGCTTTGAGAAGTCCCGCTTCCTTCTGAGAATCGAAAAAGAAAGACAATCTTTTGGCGCTCCGCGCGGAGTTCTTGGATCCTCGCTGGCCCCCCCCAGCGGCGCCTCCGGCACTGCCCTTGGCGCAATCCGCGCGCCAGGGAGGGGGGTCCAGCGCGGATCCCAAGAAATCCGCGCGGAGCGCCACAAGTTTATGTTTTGCTTCTTGTTGGCCTCTCCCCTGCGACACGACCCTGTCTGCACGGCGGGCCGCCCCGCGGCGCGTCCTCCCGCGGGCCGCCCGCCCGCGCGCGGCGCCCCGGCCCCCGCGGCCCCTCCAGGTGCAGACGCCGGTCGGGGCGCCGGCCCCGCCGGCGAACGCCGTGGCGACGGCGGGCGCCCCGCGGCCGGAGAGCTTTTGCCGCGGTTCGTCGTCGTCGGTTCGTCGTCGGCTCGTCGTCGTCGGTTCGTCGTCGTCGGTTCGTCGTCGTCATCCGTGGTCGTCGTCGTCGTCTTCGTCGTCGTCGTCGTCGTCGTCGTCGGTCGGTCGGTCGTCGATCGTCGTTCCTCGGTCCTCGGTCCTCGGTCCTCGGTCGTCGGTCGTCGTCGTCGTCGTCGTCGTCGTCGTCGTCGTCGTCGTCGTCGTCGTCGTCGTCGTTGTCGTCGGTTGTCGGCCGTCGGTCGTCGTCGGTCGTCGATCGTCGATCGTCGGTTGCCGCTCTCCTCTCTCCTTCGCGCCCCATCCACTCCCTCAGTGCCTCGTTCCCTCCCGCCTCCTTCCCTCCCCTCCCTCCTGACTCCCGCCCCTCTCCCCTCGTTCCCTCCTTCCTCCTCCCTCCCTGAAGGAGGGGCGAGGAAGGAGGCAATTGAGGGGGCAAGGAGGGGAGGGAGGAGGGGAGGAGGGAAGGGAGGAGGGAAGAGGAGGAAAGGGGAGGAGGGAAGGGAAGGGAGGAGGGAAGGGAGGAGGGAAGGGGAGGAGAGGGAGGAGGGGAGGGAGGGAGGCTCCTTCCCTCTCTTCTCCCTCCCTCCTTCTGCCCTCCTTGCCCCCCCGTCTTCTTCCCTCCTTCGCCGCTCCCCTCCTTCCCGCCCTCCCATTGATTCCTCCCTCCCTCCCTCGTCCTCCTTTCCCCGACCTCCCCCTTTCCCTCCCCCTTCCCCCTTCCGCTCCCCCCTCCTCCTTCCCCCCCTCCTCCTCCCTCCCCCTCCCCTCCAACACAAACAGTCGTCGATTCCCCTGAAACTATGGGAAGCTATGGCAAGTGTGTGGGGGGGATGAAACTCCAGAACGATGCGGAAACATCTTGGGATTCCTGGGGTTCGTGTCTACTCTTTCGGAGGCCTCTTGGGGACTTCTTTGGGGCCTCTTAGGGGTTTCTTTGGGGCCTCTTGGGGCCTCTTGGTGGCGTCTTGGACCTTTCTGGGGCGCTCTTGCGCCGTTTGGCCCGTTCGGAGGCCGTCTTGTGGGCCTCTCGCGGCCGCCTTGGGGCTCTCTTGGGGTCCTCTTGGGCCGTCTTGGGGGCCTCTTGGACCGTCTTGTGGGCCTCCTGGAATGTCTTGGGGCTCTCTTGGGCCGTCTTGGGGTCCTTGAAGGCCGTCACGGGCGTCTGAGAGTCGAAGAAGACGAAAACCTCCGCATCTTCCCAAACTCATGGGACATCCATGATTTTGGCTTGTGGAGGCGCTCTTTGGGGTCCTCTTGGGGTCCTCTTGGGCTGTCTTGGGGGCTTTGGGGGCTCTCTTGGGGCCATCTTGGACTGTCTTAGGGGCGGATTGGCCCGTACTGAGGCCATCTCGAACCGTCTTGACGACCTCTTCGATCCCAGGAGGTCCAAGGGGCCCAATTATAGATTTTCCAGTGGTTCTACAGAGGTTTGGAGGCCCAGAAGTGGGGAGGGGCATCCTGGTCGGCGGAAGTGGTGTGGCCTCTGGGGGGGGGCATGGGGGGTTACATGACAATGTAATATCATACCATATGTGTTAATTCTGTAATATTGTGATACGTAGGAACGGTGCAGTACTTGTATTAACTGGACACGTTGTGTTGTCGCCTCCGCAGACCTGCCTCCGGCAACACGTTCCTTCCAGACGTGGATTTCTTTCGCTTCGCGGGGTGCACGTCTGGAGCACGTGCAGTCCAGCCGTTGTGGGGAGAGACTCTTTGGGGCCTCCTTGGAGCCTCTTGAGAGTGTACTGAGGCCTCCTGGGGGCTTGTTTGGGGCCTCTCGCGGCCTCTTGGGCCATCTCGCGGTGCTCTTGCGCCGTGTGGCCCCTTCAGAGGCCGTCCTTTGGGCCTTTGGGACCCTCTTCGGGTTCTCTTGGGCCGTCTTGGGGGCCTCTTGGACCGTCTTGGGGGCCTCTGTGGGCCGTCATGGGGCCCTGTTGTGCTGTCTTGGGGCCCTCTCGGGGGTTTCCTGGGCCGTCTTGGGGCCATCTTGGAGGCTGCTTGGACCGTCAGGGGCTTCTGAGAGACGAACGCGGCGAGGACGCTAAACTCGGTAAACAACCATCGGGCAATATATGTGTTTGGCTTCTGGAGGCGCTTTTGGGGGTCCTCCTGGAGCCCTCTGGGGCCTTCTTGGAGATTTTGCGGACCCTCTTGGGGCCATCTTGGAACGTCTTGGGGTCGTCGGCCCCTGGCGGGGGTTAGGCGGGAGACACAATAATGTAACACAATACGACACGTGGCAATTATGCAATCATAGGATACATGGGATACGTTGCATTAGGGCTTCCGCTCCGCTGCGCGACCTGCTTCTGGCAGCACGTCACTTCTGGACGTGGATTCCTCTCGCTTCGCGGGGTGCACGTCCGAAGCACGTGCAGTCCAGACGTTGTGGGGCTTGGAAGGAGCCTTTCTGGAGCCTCTTGGAGGCCTCTTGTGGACTTCTTGGGGCCTCTTGGGGGCTTCTTTGGGGCCTCTTGGGGCCTCTTGGGGGCGTCTTGGGCCGTCTTGGGCGCTCGTGCGCCGTTTGGCCCTTTCGGAGGCCATCCTGTGGGCCTTTTCCTCTTGGCTGTCTTGGGGGCTTCTTGGACTGTCTTGGGGGCCTCTGGGCCGTCTTGGGGTCCTCTTCGGGGACTCTGGGGCCGTCCAGGGGCCATGTTGGAGGCTCCTTGGGCCGTCATGGACCTCTGAGGATAGAAGAAAAAAACGAGAACGCTCAAATCAATATGAAATCAGTGATTTTGGCTTCTGGGGGCGCTCTTGGGGGTCCTCTTGGGGCCCTCTTGGGCCTTCTTGGGGGCTTTGGGGCCCTCTTGAGGCCCTCTTGGGGCCATCTTGGACCGTCTTGGGGTCGTCTTGGTCCGTCTTGAGGCCATCTTGAGCCATCTTGACGCACTCTTGGACCCCCAAGTGGCCCCAGGGGCCCATACAGTGGCCCCAGGGGCCCAAAAGGGGTCCGTCACGTTTGTGTCGACGGGGGTGGCGCGACTCCAGGGGGGTGGGTATGGGGTACACACAATAGTGTCACACAATACAATCTGTGGCAACTTTTGAACTATTGGATGCATTGGATACGTTGCGTTATCGCCTTCGCGGAAAACGCTGCCGCTCAGCACGTCACCTCCGGACGTGGACTCTACAGGCTTGCGCCACATCCGCCGACCCCTTTGATTTGAAGCCCCCTCTGATGAGGTCACCCGGAGGTCGTGCTGGACCAACCCTCCCCCCTCAAATTTGGATTTTCGTTGAAGGTTTTTTGGGGGGCGATTTGAGGGGGGAAGAACCATCTCACACGACTGGAGATCGACAAGGGGTCGGCGGATTCTTCAGCGGGGCGTCCCCTTCACGCCTCAGCGGAAGGCGCCAGACGTGTCCTCCGGCTTGGCCACAAAGCGCAGCGCGACTTCGGGAGGGAGGCAGCCGGTGCCCGCTGCCTCTTCGCGGGGTGTCCTGAACTCGAGGCGGCGTTCCGACAAGAGGGGGACTGTCGGACGCGACGCTGCGATGGCTTGTGGCCCCTGCCCCTTGTTGGCCGAGTGAGGAGGACGAGGGGAAGAGGGGGAGGAGGATGAGGATGATGATCATGATGATGATGATGATGAGGAGGAGGAGGAGGAGGAGGAGGAGGTTTAGGAGTAGTAGTAGTAGTAGTAGTAGTAGTAGTAGTAGTAGTAGTCGTAGTAGTAGTAGTAGTAGTAGTAGTAGTAGTAGTAGTAGTAGTAGTTCGTCTTATCAGTAGTAGTGGTTAGTAGTAGTAGTCGTAGTAGT